GTCTCAAATTTGTGACTTTAAATTTTTCATCAGACGTGTGTGGACACACCTCTTAGCCGCTCTCATTCAGTTTCCATCCGTTTTTGTTGATGTTTTTTTATTATTATCGTTTTAGTTTTTTAAGCATCCCAATTTAGTGGATTGATTCCAAGCTCAGCCAGATATCCAGTTACTTGATGTTTTCTGGTTAAATAAATATCTTTAAGTATAAAGACGACTCCATACACTGGATTAATGTTAAATTAATCTTTGAGTTTTATACTAGAACTCACCCACTACAAGGCTCGTGAGTCGCTTAAGGTATGGACTTAGTAGTAAAATGGTATTGATAAAAAACGAAGTTGTGGAAAGTGAAGGTTAAGAACAATATATAACGACTGACTATTCACTTGAAGTGCTTAAAATTATAGTGTTGAGGTCAGCACTGGCACGATAGTCTTGTGAAAAGAAAAAAAAAGCTATCCAAGTGAACATTTATTTTGAATACGGAGTAAATGTGACTGATTCGGCTCCTTGGAAGCAGCATTACAGAATACAGATTTGTTAATCTTTGTATATAAATAGAGGTTTTTAATGTGATGTTTAACAAGCTAGTTAAACGGGCCTTTCTTAATAGAGAGATGTTGATCCTCATTGAGTGGTTCATCTATTGTTGCCCTAGGCTAGACAAGTTAAAGACGACGACTAGGTGATGTTTGAACATTTAACTACGCTTCTGTTGACCAGAAACCGACAAGGAAACAATTGTATTTAGAACAATTCCTATGAAATTAGATTAATTGCATCAGAGCAAATTAAATGTAAAGTTTAATCATTGTCACAAGTGTCACGAGTGTTTCACTTTGGTGACGGGAAGTGTACCGCATTCCAAATACGGAGGTGTCAGTGTTTTCATTCTGTTTTGTTAGCTTTTTCTATTTTTCAATTAATTCGTGATTTGAAACAGGAAACCTGTTTAAGCAAGCAGAGTACAATTCAGCAAATAGCATTTTTTTTAAAATTATTTTTAAATATGTATTTGGCAATTCAAAGTAATGGAGAAGAAAACGGTAATTCTGGGGGGAAATGGAAAGAAAGAAAGAAAGAAAGAAAGAAAGAAAGAAAGAAAGAAAGAAAAAAAGAAAGAAAAAAAAAATAAAGAAAAAAGAAAGAAAACAAAAAAGAAGGAAAATAAAGAAAGAAAGAAAGAAAGAAAGAAAGAAAAAAAAAAGAAAGAACGAAATAGCAAGAAACATAAAGGAAAAAAAACTGCAACGCCGTAGATTTATTCAGTAGCAAAATCCATTGAATAAACTGATTTGTACAAGTTGGTTGTACGACATATTCCACACTGCTGGATTATATAACCTTGGATGATGTCTTTTAATCATTATATATGAGTCTATTTACTTCGTTCAGTGGTAGGTACACATTAATCGTTTAGGGTTGAGTCTAAATATTTAATTGATCCGAGGATAGGTAATTGTTGATTGTTTACTGTTGAGTCTGTAAGCATTTACTTGATTCGGGAATAAGTAAATATTTGTCGTCTATTTTTCAGTCTGTAAACATTTGATTGATTCTAAATTGTTAAATATTGGTCGTTTCAAATTCCTCCATCTTTTGTTCCAACCCAATATTTAGTAAGTAAACAAAAAATACCGTAGGTCTTTTGTAATGTTGCAAGTACAATGTAATTTCAAATTTGTTTAAATAAAAGCGTGTATCGTTATTTTTATGGTATTTGATTATTACTACTTCAGTTTGCTAGTAGAGATTTAAAAAAATACAAGTAGTGATTTAAAAAAATATTTTAGCATTCATTAGACGTTTTTCTATCAACGACATTTGTCATTTGGAATTTTTTTTTTCTTTTTTTTAGAATTTTAGGAGTGTACTCTTCATAATATACAGTGTTACATCGACACCTTGTTTCTATTTGCAATATCAAATTTGATAATATTCTACTTACTACCAAGAAACTGGAAAGCATACTAAACGTACTACTACGAACTGGAAAAAATGACGTAATCAATAGGATGAAAAGTGATGAAAGACGTTAGCAGAGTTTCAGATTTAATATTTGTAAATAAAAACAAAGCCCAGATAAACCTTTATAAAGTCAGAGATCTATTTTACACTGTAATATTTTTGTTTAAAGTGATTTCTGACTAAGATCGCCATTGATAATCCGTGAGCAAGATTAAAGAGAAGGCGACGAACCTGCCGATGACAGTCCCGAAATGCAGTCTATCATGAAAACTGAAAGTGAAAATGAAACTAAAATAAGTGTTTGAGGTCAGAAAGGAAACATTTTAGGTAGAATATTTTGCCGTAAATATTAGAATCATTAGTGAGTAAATGAGTATTTCATTGAATATGTGGAAATTTCTTTTCTCAATATTATGCACTATAATTGTTGCCTTTGATTAAAAACGAGACTTCCAAGTATAAATGTGGATGTTAGAAAAAAAGGAAGTCATTCGTCTTTGACCCAGAACTGCAAACTATTTACATCGTTCTATGAACTTAAGTCATTAAAAAGGAGCATACCATGATGAAAAAAGTTGACATAATAAAAACAAAGTTTTATCGCCAAAATGTTTACGTTATTATTAAGAGGAAGGTCCAAAGTATTTTTTTTTTTTATTTTGTTGATTTTTTAATCCTTTCTAGCACGTTTGAAATTTTGGTTAAAAATTTTGTTTTTCTTGCCTCAGATTAGTATAGGGAATTTTAGCATTTTTTTGTGGGGGGGGGGCGTTAAAATACATTGATTTTCAAATTCTTAAAAAAGTAAATAACTGTCAGATTTTAAAGACTTATTCACAAATGAATGAGATTATTTTTTCAAGTACATTTTTACGAAAATCTTGGTAAAAATATTTTGTATTTACATCTGTTGTTCCCATTTATTTAACTTTATGACATTTAGAGAAATTAAAATACTACACTCTTCATGTTTATATTAATTAAAAGCAGCAATCATTGGAGAATTTAAATCATATGTTTCTTTTTGCCAAACAGTAATACAATTTACCAAAAATCTGCTCTGAATAGTAAAATAAAAAATGCAAAAAATAAAAAATGCAATAAAACTATGACATTATTTAATTAGAAAATCTTTTAAATGCTTTTATAAGATATATTATAGATAGTATTGTCTTATGAAAAAATCGATGAATAATAAATTTTTATATGTATTATTTTAATTTTTTTCATTATAATTAAAAAAAAAAGATTATTAAATTTTAAAATTCTGTATTAATTTCTGCCCTT